ATGCGTCTTTGGCGCACCGAAGCGCCATAGAAGGATACGCCAGTAAAAGGGTAAAATAGAGAACGCGTGAAGAAGCCGCGATGACGAAAGCAGACGAGTCCGCGCAGTCCTTGGTTGAGGTCGAAGAGGGGAGGATAAAATAACACAGACAGATTTGGCGGGTAAGCAAACGCACGATGAGCGTGATGAGCAGTCGAACATACAGGCTGTATCTTGATGCAACCGCGGACCTTAGCGCAATGACGCCCAGAGACTGGACACAAGCACTGTCCGAGTGACCTGCATGTGCTCCGGAATTGTCGGATGTTCGTGATCCGGATCTATCGGATATTCATTTTCACGTTTGTGACCGATCAGAGCGGTTGCAGAAATCTCCACACTTTTAAAATGTTCGGTGCTTAAAAACAAAGAAAAACAAAAACAAAAACTAGTACACCGAGAATTGTAATGCGGGTGCCAAGCTGAAATAAAGATTTATGATAAAAACCACTGATATAATTATGGAACACTTTGCTTTGGCCATGAGTGGAGAGAGTCAACGGGGGGGGGGGGGGGGGGGGGGGGGAAGGGGGTGCTAAATTCTTTCGGTGTTTCCTCGTAACTGATAGCGGGTAGAGAGCAGAGCCGACGTTGGTCTGACCATTACAGATACGAGAAATTAAGTTTCAACAATATTGAGGCCCAGCGTTAACCCTCAATAATACTGCTCCTCCGAAGCCGCTTCACACAAATATCGCAGCGCTAAATCAACAATGATGCTGCTCTGATTGCAATGGAACTTGGCCCTGAAGCAGCGCTGTATCAGCGCTCTATTGCTAACACAGGGTGATGTAAATGGTGCATAAGAAGGGACAGCGCTATTTGCAGAGCGGACCAATGGCGCTGAGGTTGTACCGTAGCCCATGTTTGAACAGGCATTTAGTCTCCTCAACTCATGGCAAAATGAGCAGTCACGTGTTCTACCTCCATGGTCACCAGACATCAGTAGTCACTAAAAGGTTAAGAAATAGAGGGCGTGTCTTATTAGGTATTGCGATGTTTGCTTTGTGACCTGTTGTTCGGCTTTCTTATTGGTGAATGGCGCTAGCTAATTGGCTGTGGACCGATAGTGATATGCTCGGAACCTGTCACGCCCTAAATTTGTTTTCAAAAATATTTATTGAACCACGCAGACGTTGATTCCTAAGTATTCGTGAGTGTATATTATATAAACCCTATTTGAAAATCTTGTTTTGTTGGACTCTCTAAAACGACCATGCGACGACCCAAGGCAACGTAAGCAACAAAACCACACGACAGATGTCTAAACAAGTATTCTACTTCATCCAGTATTGGAATAAAAAATTGGGAGTGATTAAAACGTTCGGCTATTGATTGGCGTTCTCGTTTTAGTTGGGCGCCTGTATGTCACCTGAGTGACACACAGTTTCGGTTTCGAAGACAGCCGGGTCTTCTGTCGTTTGGTAACCGCCCTAACCATGCTGGCCGTCCTGCCGCGGCTCGCATTAGTTGTGGAAAGTGGTTGTGGAACCTGATTGCGGATTATAACTATAATAATACGTAAAGTAAGCTTATAAAAATGTAAAATCCCAAGAGGATTTGAAACAAGAAATTTGCGAAGTTAGTGGCAAGCAAAGACTCTCGCGCGTGACCTCTCAACTGTAAGCACATTCGATTTGGTCGATTTATTTTCTTGGGTAAAATTATTGAACGTAACTTTACCACGACCGGCTTATGGGCGTGAGTTTTCTTTCTTTTTTTTTTTTATAAATTTGACATTACAGCGATCGAATTCCTGAAGAGTAACTTGAGGTGGTGCACCTTGGGTACCTAAAGGCAATTAATTTTGCGTATGTATCATGCCATCTCTTTTTTTCTGCAAGCGGATCATCAATTGTTTTATCAAAGCGAGAGCATATTTGCGGCTCGTCATTTCACGATTATAATGGGACGCGGTTCGGCCAATCAAAGTCGCAAACAGTTTCCTCAACCTTTCTGTAGCACGACATGCGGTATCTCAAACAATATATGGTGCCGGTGTGCGGCTCGAAGCCCAATAGCCGTCCGCGGTGTAATAGGCGACGCAATAGCGCTCAACGAGGACGGCCCTTTTAAAAGTATTTGAGCACACTATCTGACGTTAGATGTAATCCGTTGACTTGCGTGTGTCACGTCATTAAGGTGCCGCTGTTGGAGCGATATCTGATACTCTGGCCTTGCTCACCAAATCCGTGCTACGTCGTTATCTTTCACAGTCTGCAAAAGTTTCCTGCCGTGATGTATTCGTAGAACTCAAAGTGAAGCTCCCAGAGAATGAAGATTCTCTTTTTTACACTAATAAGATAATACAAAGTATCAAACGAGTGAAAGTGGATTGTATAATAAAGCACAATGATTCAGAGCAGGCATATATCTCAGAAATTCGAAAAAGACATTTCACAACCACTTCAAGATTTCAGTGATTAGAATGACATGAGAATGATCGGTGCATCTGTTGAATCTGTTGATCGGTGCGTTTGAATTTACAACGATTTTACTTTATCGGATTGGTCATGAAGACTAACGTTAGATGGCGCACAGAGAGTATTTGTGGGCAAAGCAGTGGAGACCGGGTGCTCCTGTAACATACGAGAGCCCCGATTTGCATTACAATTTGAAGCCCCAAGAGACGCCACATCGAACTTGGTATTTGAACATCAAGTAAACTTAAGTACACTCTAAAAAAGGCCTGTGCGTCTACGTTCATACACAACACTCGGAGAGCCAATCAGCGCGACTTACGGAGGCAGCTCAGCGAATGACGATGCCGAAACATCTGTTTAGACCAAAAAACGCAGACTGAGTTGACATTAAGCAATGCAAGCGTGGCGTTTTGCATTGCTTAATATCAAAACTCGGAATGCGTTTTTTGGCCTAAACAAATGTTTCGGCATCGTCATTCGCTGAGCTGCCTCCGTAAGTCGCGCTGATTGGCTCTCCGAGTGTTGTGCGTGAAAGTAGACGCACAGACTTTTTTCAGAGTGTACATGCGTTCGAGCATGCTAACGTTACATTATATTCGAATAACATAATATACAAAATTCAATGTTTTTTTGCAGAAGTTTTATCTCAGAAGAGAATAACTGAGAAGATTCTCACATTATCTGTGTCTGCGGTTTGTAGTTTAATAAATATTTTGAATACGATAAGTCCGACGGATATTGATTTGACTAAAAACCAAAACAAAAATAAAAAGAAATTTTGGAACTACAAACGTGAAAATAGCCATGTTGAAGATATGCCTTCCTAGCTTTGGTTACCCTGCCAAAGAAAGTTGTGGCAATGCATTTCACAATTTGCAGAAAAGCGGCGCAACGAAAATTCTCGGGTCGCACTAATATCCTGAGCATGTTAGGGGATTCTAAGGACGTCCATTAAATGGTGCATGCCCCTAAGCTCTGATGAGCATTTGACTTGTTTATATCAACGGGCTTGTGCACTATTGAGAGGAGATAGCATGTCGTCCAGTGCAGAAGGAAAGCTCATAACTTCCGGCATTTAAGCATCTAATCGTCCCTTGAATGGAACAGCATTCATGCCTCTTTAGTAGCGCTGGCGTTAACGCGTGACGTTTCTCAGTAACGTAGTAATGTACTCGTTACGTTTTAAAACCAGTAACGGGTAAGCTACTTACGTTACTTATTTCAAGTAACGGGCAACGTAGTTACGTACCTCGTTACATCTTCTTTCCAAAACCTGAAGCAAAGTACAATTGTATTTCGTTCGTGTTTGTATGCGTTTTGAATTAAGTTGTGACACAGCGGACGCTACGAGCTAATCTGAACCATCAGGCGGCGTCAAAAGGGCACATTCCTGGTGCTCGTCATGTTTCTGTACGTATTCTATCATCACTGAGCTAAACATAAAAAGAAAAGGCTTAGTGAACAAAAAGTTAGGGCGCAAACATGAAGGTTTAACATTTTGGGAAAAAAAACCGAGTCTCGGGGAAAAATGGACAACACAACACAAAGTCGCAAACACAGCTGTGTTTGAGACTTTGTGTTGTGTTGTCCTTTTTCCACCCCAGTCTCGGGGTTTTGTCCAAAAGGCATAGTGACTTGCGCTTTTTACGCTATTGATTTGCCACATTAGCTCGTATTGTTGGCGGCGTCTGGACTTAAGCAGCTGAAACGAAGGGTAGGAGCCAATCAATTAAGTATTTCACTCATTCCACATACCTTCAGAAATTGTGCTGTAATTTTCCCACGCAAAATGTCGCTCCTTTAAAAAACCCTAGCACCCATGCTTTTTGTCCGAGTCTGGGAAAGCACCGTAGCCTCCAGAAAACGTTGTTACCGTCAATTTATAAATAAAAAGTAACGCAGAAGTAACGTGCTTTATTTTTGATCTGTAACGGTAGTGGTATCGTGACCTTTTATATTGCAAGATACGAGTAACATGTTTCCTTACGTCTTTGTTAACGCCTACAGCACTGCTCTTTAGTCAGCATCACTGATGGCGATTGCCTGCGTGTTGAATAAATGAAGTAACATAAGGTAATGCGTTGACGCTCAAATAAAGTTTCGAAAGCTTCAACTTTTTCTTGTTTGCTTATGTTGGCTTTGCATCAAAGGTATGATGCTTCAAACACCCATAATTGTTTATATTTTTATTATTACGTGCTTCTGTTAACTTTTTTTATTCGGTGAAACCTACATTGCCTCTAATGCTGAATGCCTTGAGGCGGTTCAGCAAGGAACATGAATGGATAAATAGCAAGCAATATATACATGCCAAAATAAAAATGCGCAGTGGTAACAATGTATAGTATAATAAAGTAGGTGAATGTGCCGTGTTTATTGCAAATATTTATTCAACTACCTTTATGCATGACATTAGGTAATGAAATCAAATAATATAAAAATTGGTGAAGGCTGTCGCAATTAAAATCAATGTTTCTGGTGCACGTGAATACTACGTCGAATTTGAGTTGCTTTAAAGGGGAAACTTTTCTTTTCCAGATAAAACCTCCGAGCTATTCACTGGCACGTACGAAGGTTCCCGTTGCCATCTACTGGAGCCAAAATGACTGGCTTGCCTCAGAGACGGACGTTCGTCACCTGCGAGACGATCTTCCTAACGTTGTGTCCTTCTACAAAGTGCCTGATCCGCAATTCACGCATATTGACTTCGGATGGGGCTGTAACGCAACAAAGATTCTTTACGAGCCAATGATCAAGGAGATGAAAAAATATGGGCATTAAAATGTGTCAATATTTTTGAGTGCCATGAAGTCGCATACTTGGGTATGGACGATTTCCTCCATTGCAATTTTAGGGTGATAATTGTTGCTGGCGAGGCTTCGCAGAAAATATAGTCTGTGTTTTGTGTATAGACGTCGTATCTAAATTTAGCGGGGAATCACAGTGTCGGCAGTCACCTGGGGACGTGGCGTCACAATTTTAACGGTAGTTTTAGTGGAGGATTTCTAGTCTGAGGTTGGCGAAAACATTTATGTCACGTTATGTCTTGGCACCACGAAACGTTACAGTTGTACGTCACGTCCTAGCGTCACGCGACGTCACGATGTCACATTAACACCGTATGTTAAATTTAAATATAGCTGTGTAGCTATGTGCAGCGTCTCGGCTGTCCCCGCAGCGAATATTTGGGGCACTGCAAAGTACAGGGAAACTTCTTTGCTGTTATAGTATAATCTGGCAGTAAACTTATAGTTTAAAGCACAATGGGGAGGTAAAGCAGAAAACAGTGTTTCGTTTCATTTCATTTCATTTTATTACCTTAAATACCCCGTCAGGGTTATTACATAAGGGGTGGGGTTACATATAAAAGCATTTTTAACAGACATTCATGTCGGAAGGTGGTTGGCGACAGTCTCCATGAATACTGATGGACATGTGATGGCGGCGACGTGGTGGGGAAGGCCGTTCCAGTCTGCTGCTGCTTGAGAAAAAAAAGGCTAAAAAAGTAGTAGTGCGGGCACGTGGGAGCGTTACTTGAAGTGGATGACCAATGCGCGGAGATATGCGTGATGGGGGGACAATGTAAGGTGCATGGTTGAGCGAGCTGTAGTATAACTTGTGAAAGAGGGAAAGGCTGGAAGTGCGACGGCGAAGAGAAAGAGGTGTCAGGCCGGATTCTGCTTTTAATGATGAAACGCTGATATCGTATGAGTAGGCAGAATGAATGAACCTTGTGGATCGATTTTGAATAGATTCAAGTTCATTACTAATATATGCTTTGTGAGGGTTCCAGATGGGCAGATGCGTATTCAAGTTTTGATCTAACAAGTGTTTTGTACGCAAGTAAACGTACGTGCTTCGGAACGTGGCATAGATTACGTTTAAGAAATCCAAGGACTGTTTGCAGCTGATATGACGTTGGCAGTATGCGCGCGCATGATAGATCGTTCGACAGTGTTACACCTAGGTATTTAAATGATTGTACAGATTAGACAGTGACGCTAGCAATTGTATAGGTGAAAAGAAAGGGGTTACGGGGCAACGATGGAATGATACAAGTTTACATTTGCTGGGATTAAGGGTCATTTGCCAAACAGTGGCACCAATCTTGTACATGATTAAGGTCATTCTGCAGGCATGTCTGGTCAGAGGTGTTAGCGATTGTACGATAAATAACGCAGTCATCCGCAAACATACGAATGTGGCATGACATATGCGATGGTAAGGCATGACAGATGCGATGGTAAGATGGTAATGTATATTAAGAACAGGAGGGGGCCGAGGACGGATCCTTGTGGGACGCCTGATGTTAGTGGGAGAGGGTTAGATGAGTGGTTGTTAACAAAGACAAGCTGAGAGCGATTAGACAGAAATGCCTTGACCCATTGAACAATAGCAGTGTTTAGATTTAATTGGGAAAGTTTTTGGAGGAGGCGCTGGTGCGCTACTTTGTCGAATGCTTTGGCAAAATCTAAATAAACCATGTCAGTTTGAAGGTTATGGTCAAGATTTGAATGCAAGTCATGAACGAAGAGTGCAAGTTGAGTTTCGCAAGAGAAGATTTTACGAAACCCGTGCTGGGAGGGGTGGAAAAAGTCGATAGAGTCTAGGAAATTAATTATTTGAGTGTATATGACGTATTCCATGGCTTTGCAGGGGACTCTTGTTAAAGAGATGGGAAGTTAATTTAGTGGGGAGTCCTTGTTACCCGATTTGTAGACTGGAACGACCCTTCCCACCTTCCAGTCGTCGGGTAAGATGCCTGTAGAAAGTGATTGTGAGAACAACATGGTCATGTACACAGCAGATATACGTTTGGTATTTTTTAAAAGTTTGGAGTTAATTCCGTCACCGCCGGCTGACGATGAGAGTTTGATATTTTCGATTAATGATGAGGTGCCATCTACAGAAAATGTGAGAGCTGGCATAGTAGATACTGCGTTAGATAGTATTAAAGAGGGAGGGACATCAGTTTCTTCGCTAAACATGGAAAAGAAGGCCGAGTTAAAAGCATTGGCGCACTCCGTGTAAGTGACTATTTCGCCCGCTGCGTTCGTCAGGCTAATGATGCGCGTCTCTTGGGGATTTATAACTTGCCAAAACTTTTTAGGATTGTTAATTAAGATCTTCGGTAAGTCATCATAAAAAAAGGAATGCTTTGCGCTACGTATAGATACCAGATAGGCGTCTTCAGCTGCGTAGTTATTTTCCCATGCTCAAGGGTTTCCATTCCGTTTGGCCGAGCGGAAAAGACTTTTTTTTTGTTACCTAGTTTTTTAAAGACTTTGTAAACTAGGATTTCTGTCGATTCCCACGGAACGTAATTATTGGGATGAATTTATTTGCAAGTTCATTTAATTTATTTCTGAACATTATCCAGTTTGTATTAATAGAGCGACTAAAAAATGATGCTTCAAAAATTGGAAGGAAGGCGTTTAGCTCCCTGTTTATTACTTTATAATTTCCCTTATCATAAAGACGAATTCTTTTATCGCGTGTTTGGCGTCGTACCAAGCAAAAGTTGAAGGTAGCATGAATTACTTTGTGGTCGTTGATTTCGCGGAGATAAGTAACCGGTGATAGGCTGTCGGGATGACTGCTTAGAATTAGACCTAAGACGTTTGCAGAATCCCATGAAACACGTGTGGGTTCAGATACTAGTTGAACAAGGCTAAAATTAAGAAATACGTTAAAAAAATCTTTTGCGGCTCCAGTCTATTTGCGGGTAATTAAAATCTCCAAAGAGAAGGATATGTGCATTCGTTTACGTTGATGGAAATTCACTAAAGATGTTATTAAGTTTACAAGAAAAGTCAGGAGAATTATGGGGGGCCTGTAGCAGACTTCCAAAAGAACCGTCTGAGGCGAAGCGCGACATATGAGCCATAGTATTTCAAGGTCGGATGCAATGTTAGCAATAGAACATGACAAATGCTGGTGTGCGGCGATGAGAACACCTCCTCCTCGTGTGGCTTGGCGGTCATTTCTATAATGGCGGAAGTCTGGCCTTGATAAAAAATTTTTCTTGTTTATATATTCTTCTTTCCGAAATGTTACGCAGGAAACAAGCGCGCGCGTTCTCCCTTGCACAGCGTCCGAGCAAAGCACATAAATGTTCTAAAAGCTGATAAAAAATGAACCTTAAAAAACGCGTCCTTATTATTGTCCTACGCAAGGTACAACATATAAATAAGGACTTTTGTTTCAACAGCGTCTATTACTACGCATTTTAGCAAAGGACTCATTTAGAATTATTTTGACGCATGACGAGCAAAATGAGGCAAAAGACGCCCAGTACGTCTCCGTTTTGTTTTGTTTTTCTTTCGAGTGACCCACCAGCAGCCTGACACCTCTTTAGTGGTGTACTTATCCACGTGTCAATTAGTAGTAAAATTTTGAATATGATAAGAACGAAATGTTAGGACGAAAACAATAGTTCGACACACTTTCAAATTATACGCTCTTCATAAAAAATATCAAGACTAGCATTCCCCCAAATCTGTTCTAAATAGTTATACATCAGTTCTAGGCGTGTCATGGGTACAACAAGATTAAAATTAATAAAAAAAAAACAAAGTATAAAGTCTAGTAGACCTACGAGGAATGTGCAAGTAGATGTAACCATAGTTTATCATACACAGTTTGCCCACTGTAGAATAAGCCTGTGGTAATTGCAAACCACGTGATCAAGCACCTTGTATCAATAAAAGTGCATTGTAAAACTAAATTCTTAATACATTATTAAAACAATCTAAATTATATTAACAACGAAACAACTTAAAAAGATCGCAAGTTTCTCAAATAACTTTTGAAACTCGGAAAAGCGCCCTCTCACCCCGGATGGGGCAACTAACCACTTTTTATCTTTCTGCTTTGTTGTTTCGTTCTTAAAGATGGCGGCCCCCATGGTATTTTGGTTCTGGGGTGCCGCGTTTGCTCGCGTTCACTCGCGTTCGCTCGCGTTCGTTGTGCTTTTTTGTGATCCGCCCACGCCCAGCAGTGGACAACAGTCACAGGTGATCAGTTTAAAGAAGAGAATTTGTTGTTCACAAAAAGCTTTACTTGTACTCTGTATGAAATCGATTCAATGGAGGACACAAATGCAGGCAATGTTACAAAATGCACACGAGGATCAATACAAAATTTTTTTCATGTAGCGAGAATATATGTATACATAAAACGCTTTACCGTGTCACAAGCCTTAAAACAGTGAAAACCAAATCGTATGTACACAAATAAACACTGAAGAAGTGTGTATGGGGACAGCACTATAGGAACTACGAAATTCTACAATTTTCGACTTAAATGCACAAAATTCTGACAGAGCATAGACAAAGCCTAGACAAAGCAGAGCTCGGCTGATGTAGGGCATGTAACTGCCTCAACGCAAATATGATGCGTTGAAGCGGTTGCAGAGCATAAAACAAAGCACAGAAGACTAAATTACAAAGCTATAAGTATATCGCAGGAATTCGTCAATTTTTTTTTTTAATGTTGCAGGCATTTGCTGGTTTTTTGCAATACTGCTCCGAATGCTGATCTGCAATAAGCGGTCTTAACTCAACTTATTTCTTCGTGCTTGCTTGAGGAGTATATCATCACTACATGTACTCCTTAAAGCACACCCCACCGACACTGTCCAGATAAAAGAAGCTGGAAAACTTATGGCCTCATTTGTGCAAGTGGTCATCGATTTCTTTCCCTAAAATTTCTGCACCTTGTGCCACAACAGAAACCACGGTTTCACATAGCCATTTAAGACCTCAACCTATCAACTTCCA